TGAGCACTCTATAAGCTTCCTAGAGGCTCTGCACGGCCATTTTGGTGAAGGGGGCGGGGTTTCAGGAGGCAAAAAATGCTGTATTCAGTGTATAAGACGCACCTTTTCCCCTCAAAAAAGAGGCTGAAAATCTGGGTGCGTCTTATACACTGAATACAGCATTTTTTGCCTCCTGAAACCCCGCCCCCTTCACCAAAATGGCCGTGCAGAGCCTCTAGGAAGCTTATAGAGTGCTCATGGGGGCTGGGGAGGGCAGAAATGAGCAAAAAACAGCTTGTGTTTTGCTCAATTTTAGCCCCCCCCCCCGAGCTCCCAGGAGCACTCTATAAGCTTTCTAAAGGCTATCCATGCCCTTTTTAAAACAAAAAAACGGACCAGTTTTCACAAAAAAATGGGCCATTTTTTGCTCGTTCCCCCCCTCCCCAACGCCCAGGAGCACTCTGCAAGCCCCCTAAAGGCTATTCATGGCTTTTTTTTTGAAAAAACAACAACACAGGGCCGTTTTTGCAAAAAACGGGCCGTTTTTGGGAGGTTTGCAGAGTGCAAAAACTTTTTTTTTTTTAAATTGTCTCTTCAAAACCTTGGTGCGTCTTGAAAAATACGGTACTTATTTTTTCCCCGAAGGGGTGTTTACGTGATGTACTCATAGAAATTGGCCTGGATACTAAATACAGTCTTTTAATTTGTACTTTGTGTTGATTAGTCAAAATGAAACCGGGTATAATTCTGCCATTGTTGCCTGGGTGCCAGTTTTCAAATTATTATTTTTTTTTGGACAAATTGCAAATCTTTTCCCATCCAGAGCAAAGTTCAAAACGCACATATCGGGTATGCTGTAATTGTAGGGTATGTTCCTGTCTGTCTCGTTTTACCTGTCTTTGCTCAAATTTCTTAAAACGCATTTTATTTCCAGACGTCAAAGGACATTTTCAAAGGCAGTTGTGCCATATCCAGTTTCAGTGAGTAATTCGAGCAAGGCAACCACAGGCAGACAAAGCGTTCGTCTCTGCATTGACACAGTTTGACTCAGAGCGACCACATCAATGAGTTTTTGAAAAGCTCCTGAATTTCTTTAGTCTGAGACATCAACAGTGGAATTCCGAGGAAGGGCTCTTAGTCACAAGAGAAATATGTGGATGCCGGGCTGAGCCTCTGCACGGCGTTCTTTAATCTTAGGAAGTGTTTCCCCACCAAGTTCTTTTTAATATATATTATTTATGCATAGCAGTGCGTGAATAATGTGATACCTGGGTATCCTACATTTGAATACAAATAGACATGGTATTATTACTCATAGTTACAGTGGGGCAAAAAAGTATTTAGTCAGCCACCAATTGTGCAAGTTCTCCCACTTAAAAAGATGAGAGAGGCCTGTAATTGACATCACAGGTAGACCTCCAGCTATGAGAGACAAAATGAGAAAACAAATCCAGACAATCCCATTGTCTGGATTTGT